CCTGGAGCGACTCGGGAACACCTGACTGGTGTGGCTTAGTCTCTGGGGGCTCCTCAATTTGGGGCTGACTACCCCAGGACCATGAAGTACCTGGGCTGGGGGAGGAAGGAAGGTGGTGGGTGAGGGTGCAAGCCACTGGAAGCACTGAAATCCTAGCTTGGCATGAGCCTGCCAAGACTCAGTGTGCCCTTCTGAGAGTGGGGCTAATAGTCCAGTCACTCGAGTTTTCCAGGATGTCCAGTACAAAAAAAAATCCTTAGTAAATGGGAGGTTGTCTGGCATCCCTGTTTGTATTCTACCTGAACTTAACTCACCCTGGAACTTAGTGAAGTTGCAGCTGGAGGGAGACGCTGTTCAGCCACAACCCTAGTGCCCAACTAGCCCCCGAGAGCCCATGCCGGACGCAACCTCCCTCCCCTGCCTGGGGACCTCGAGCAGAGTCAGCCCTTCTCTCTCTAGCCCAGATGTGGGGATTAGGGGAGGTGGTCCTCTCCAAGTCTGGAGCTCACCGGCCCCTGGCAGGCACCTACCCGTCTGGATGCCCAGCTGGAGGAGCTCCCTTGTCCTCTGTGTCCTGCGTGAGGGCCTCAGGTGTTGGTGCAGGTTCCACATCCAGGACAGAAGGGTCTGGGTGAGAGGCGGCTGCGGTGTCCATGCCTGGAGCCTTGGCCGCCACCACTTCCTCCGCTGGCCCTGCGCCCGGGGGCTCGGGCAGGCCTTGGGGTACCGGCTGAGGCTCCAGGCCCACCTCTAGGGACCCCTGAGGCTGGTGGGATGCCTGTCGGTCCTGAGCTTTCTTGGTGCTGGGCCGAGGCATGGTGCCCATGTGGCTGTACATGTCACTGGAGCGTGCATAAGCCGGCGGGCTCTTGGGCACTGTTACCATGTCGTCCTGTGTGGCCTCAAACGTGTCTGGCTTCAGCTGGGCCCGAAGGCTGCTGGGGGTCAGGGACCGTCTTAGAGTGAAAGAGCGGGGCAGGTTCGACAGACTCCCCAGGCCCTTGAACTTGAAGAACTCTGGCAGGGAGAAGGGCAGGAAAGGGGGTGTCAGTAATAGTAAACACAGAAGCACCTACAGTTCTACTCAGTGCTGGCCCCCAACACCCCTCTGACCACCCCTCTGATCACTCTCTTAGAAATGGTGCCCCACAAGCCCGGCACAGTAACCTAGCAACTAAAGCCCTCACCTTGCACGTACCATATCCCATATGGGCACTGGTTCTAATCCCGGCAGCCCCGCTTCCCATCCAGCTCCCTGCCTGTGGCCTGGGAAAGCAGTAGAGGACAGCCCAAAGCCTTGGGACCTTGTACCTGCTTGGGAGACCCTGAAGAGGCTCTGGGTTCCCAGCTTTGGATCAGTGCAGCTCTGGCCATCACGGCCACTTGGGGAGTGAATCATCAGACAGGACATATTCCTCTCTTCCTCTCTATCTCTCCTCCTCTCTGTATATCTCCTTTCCGATAAAAATAAATAAATCTTAAAAGAAAGAAAGAAATGGTGCCCCACAGTTCCTGTGACCCATGACCCACGCTGCCTGGCACAGCGCGTCATCCGCAAACAGTGGGGACGAGGGTGACAAGGACAGCACCAACCCTTACACAGGTTCTCAACAGAACTCAGTGACACAAGCTGAGTTCTCCCATGCCCCAGATGAGGACACTGTGGGCAGAAGGGCCTGAGGTCACACAGGGTTGGGGGAGAGGAGGGGGGGCCACCAGAGGCCAGAGGGTCCCAGGACCTGTGGTTCCCTCCTTCCTGTCAGCTGAGCCCACACTCCCTTAGGCGATACCATCTCCTCGCTTCCGCAGGGGTGTGGGGAGGGAGGAGGTGTGTGGGGTGCTGTCCCTCCTCACAGCCACCACCTCTGATTTCCTCGGAAAAGCAAAAAGGAAAAACCCTAGCATTTTTTTGCTTCCTGGCACCTCTACCTGCTCAGGCCTCCACCCCACAGGGTTGCCCAGAGAGGCCACTGTGGCCCTGGCAGGAGAAAGGCCTGGCCCAGGGTCCTGCAACAAGGCTGTGGCTAAGCAGTCTGCTGGGTCGGTGTTCCCTGAACTTTTTTCCCAGCCCTGGCCACCCAACTCAGTCTTATCTCAGAAATGGCATTTTGGCCCCGGGGGACAGTTGTGCCATGAGGTGGGGGTTGGGAGGGAAGCAGAAAGCGGGTACCCAGGTTGATCTCCCCCCTCAGCACCCCTGGCTGCCAGAAACAGTAGCAGTCGCTGGGAGGGACATGGAGGCCCCGAGGGCAAGGACTGGATGCAGCAGTTAGGCCTCCGCATCCCTGGCTGTGGGAGGAGTCTTCCCTGCCCACCCCAGGTGCTTCGGATCTAAGTCCTGAGCAGCGGAGCAGGAGTTAGCCAAGAGCGGCAGAGACTGGGCCAGGAGGGTGTGGCCCCTCCCCTTGCAACAGCAGCCCCAGCCTGGGGCCTCTTTCCTCACCACCTGTGGGAACGGCAACAGGACCCCAAAGCAAGGTCCACAACCCTAGACCTCAGCCTCCCAGCAGCTCTCAGCCAGAGATCTTGGGGGGCAGCGAGACAGGGGGTTTGGAGATCTCCCCTACTCAGGCCTCCTCCGAGGTCAAGGCGAGAGCCGAAGGGCTCCGTGGAGAAGCGAGAAGCAGAGACACAGAGAGGTGAGATGGGGGCCAAGCCAGCCAGGGAGAGAGAGAGGGAGAGAGAGGGAGAGAGGAGCAGCCCGTGAGAGGCAGAGATGGAGAGAAAGAGAAAGAGAAAGAGAAAGAGGCTGGGGCAAGGCCCGGCAGTCGGTGGCCACTGGGCAGGCTCAGGGCCCCGCACTCACTGAGCTTTTTGCTGCCCTTCTTGGTGCCCTCCATCATCTCGGCAAGCTGGGCCAAGGTCCTGGCTGGCCGGCGAGTGGACGTCAAAGTCGAGGTACCTTCCACCTCCCCTTCCCCTTTTTCTCACCCTCTGCTCGCTTCCTCTGTGTATTTTTAAACCACTGAAACTCTCTCAGCCCCACCCTCCCTGCCCTCTCCACCAGGGGGGAGGGGGGCTGGGGCCTCCCCCTTGTCCTGCCCCCCTCCCCCTGTCCAAGGGCCGGCCTCCTGGGCCTCTGCCACAAGGGCAGGGGGCAGACCGCAAGCCTGTGGGACCTGCAAGGACTGGGGAACAAACCACAAGCTCTGGGCATGGAGCCGACCGGGCCGGGGGGCCCCTGGGGACCTGCCAGCAGCTGTTAGGGGGTCTGGCCCAGGGGCTGGGAAGGCAAGGAGACAGGCCACTGTGCAGGGCAGTTTAGTCTTTGTAAATAGTTTCTTGATTACTCCATTTCCTTCTGTATTGCAGAGGCAGAGGGGGTGCCCACCTACCCCCTATTTACTGGTTCACTTCTTAAATGCCTGCAACAGCTGTGGGACCAGAGCCGGGAGCCAGTACCCAGTCCAGGTCTCCCCCACATGTGTGGCAGAGACCCAGGCACAAGCTAGTGCCCCATCTTCCAGGGTGTGCCTAAGAAGGAAGTTGAAATTAGGAGCCCAGGCCGGGAATTGAACCCAGGGACTCTGCATCAGAATGTAGGCATCACAGCAGGCAACTCATGGCAAGGTCCGACCCACACGAGAGAGGGTCCTTCTGAGCCTGGGCACTCAGGAGGTGCGTGGCAGCAGAGGAGCAGACAATGCAGTGGTCAGCTACCTTGGAGCCCAGGGGCAGCTCTCCCCTGGACTGCCTGTCACTATGTGGTCTTGAGGGCTCAGCAGGTCACTTCCTCTCTGCAAGCGGGTGGGGGTGGTGGGGTGCTTGTACTGTGCACCTCCCAGAGATCTCCCAGGGACCTCCCAGGGTCTAGTGCTTGGTGCAGAGCCCAGCTCCAACTTGGAGCCTGCCAAGGTGTGGGACACCCCTTTTCAAGCTAGCAGGGACAGGTAAAAATGGGCCACCAAACCCATGGCCACAGATGAGCAAACTGAGGCACAGAACAACAGAAGGGGATTCCACCTTGTCCCACAGTGGGTTGGTGGCACAGACTGGGTTACCACTCACTTGGCACACACAGCCCCTCCCCCCAGCCCTAGGCACCTGCAGGAGGATCTTCACATCCCACCTCCCTACAGAAGCCAAGTTCTTTCCACTCTAGGCTGCCTGGCCACTGAGGCTATGAGAGAGGAATCGAGGGACTCCTGCACCCCCAAGATGACTAATGGACCCCCAAAGCCACGCCCCTGGAACTGGAACCTACCCTCACAGCTGCGAAGTCCCAGCACTGCTGACTTCCAGGCCCCTGGCAGCTGGATAATGGGCCTTCATGGGGTAGAGTTCAAGCCAAGGCCAGGAGACCAGAGGCAGTTGGGTCCTGCTTGCTCAGGGTTTATGCAGAGGGATGACAAGAAGCAATCATGGTGCCTTCTGCCATGCATTCACCATCTGTTTGCTTTCCAAGATATTTGTTTATTTGAAAGCAGAATTAACAGAGAGGAAAAACAGAAATTTTCCATCTGCTGGTTCACTTCCCAAATAGCTGCAATGGTCAGAGCTGAGCTGATCCGAAGCCAGGAGCCAGGAGCTTCTTCTGGGCCTCCCGTGTGGGCATAGCAACCAAAAAAGAGACTTGGGCCACCTTAGTCTGTTTTTCCAGGCACATTAGCAGGGAGCTGGATTGGAAGCAGAGAAACCTGGACATGAACCTGCACCCATATAGGATGCTAGTACTACAGGTGAGGGCCTGATTGGCTGCACTGCTGTTCTACCTCCACTAGATCTTGAGAGGAAAATCTTGCTATTGTACCCATTTCACAGATGAGGCCATGGGCAGCCAGTGTCCTAACTAAGGCTGGTGCCCCTTCTCCACATCTCCTGGTTGCTGTTTGAAAGGAGGAGGGCAAAGCTGGGGGGAACTTGGCATCTTTCTCAGAGGCAACTCTGGCCTGACTTGAGCCTGACTGCCCCAAGCTGTTAGGGCTGAGGGACAGGTGTGTGGGCGAGGGACAGAGTGGTCTGGCACTGGGAGAAGCTGGCAAGCAGGCGCCTGGCATGGGCTTGGAGGTGCCGGCCATGGGGCAGCTGTGTGGCCCTGGCACAGGCACTCAGTAAGCTTACCGCTGGCGCAGGCGCCAGGGCTGTGGCTAGCATCCCTGGAGGATGAATGGGGCTCAGTGTGGCCGCTCCTCTGAGTTCAGAGGCTCCTTTGTGGGGCTTCAAGTGGCCGTTGGGTGTGTGGCTGGCCAAGACCTGCTGGCTGGCGGCTGTCCCCCAGGGCCCTCCTCAGCTTGAGCTGGCTGTGGGCCAGTCCCCTGGGTCCACAGCCTGCCCTGACCCACCCCCAGGGCCTTTCTCCCCAGGCCCCGCCCCTGGGTGCTGGCCCCACCCCCAGTGCAGTTTTCTTCCTTCTGTCACTGTCACTGGAGCCTCAGCCTCCTGCTGCAGGGCCGGCCTGAGCTGAGGGCCACTGGGCACCCTGCTTGGATTTTTGTCTCACTTCCTCTCGCTCTTGTGCAGGCTCTCACTTGGCAGGGATTGCTGGGGGTGGGAGGAGAAGGGGAGAGGTTAGGGGGTGGCTCACAGGCCAGGGACAGGCTCCTGCAATGGAAAAGACCCATGAGAGGGGAGCTGGAGCCTTCAGGTGTCCATCAAAGGTATTGCCCAGGCAAACCTGAATTCAGTTCTTTCTGGCATGACCTTGAACCAGCCCAACATCAGCATCACTAGGCCCACATACACAGGCCCCAGGAATGGCTCTGGGCAAGATGTCTCCAGCCGGGATTCTCGGCCTCCCTGTGGCCAGCATTCTGGGCAAAGTATGAGCTGATGTTTCGGCTGGAGGGGAACCAGCGCAGCTTGCAGTGGGCCAAGCTGGGCTGCCAGGGAGGTTGGGTGCTTTAAGGCATTTTCAGCTTCCACTCATTTCCGACAAATTGAGGGGGCGACAGCTGGTGGTAAGTGGAGGAGCAAGGTGCCCGCCCCTTGTGGCCATAAGAGGAGACATTGCCACTGACGATGGTGTCACTTGGTTGTGGCCTCCTGATGTCTTCATGTGTGTGTTCCAAACAGACCCCCAGCTTCCTGAGTGAGGTCTGGGCCTTCCCCATCCGCGTGGGCCCCTGCTGGCTGTGTGTGCCCACACTGCATCTCTCTGGCTGGTGCTCTGACATTGGGGACAGGGTGGGACAGTGGTATAACACGGTCCTGTCTCTGAAACGCTGCTCTACAGCGCCCCCTGGCTGTGTGGCCTGGGGCAAGCTACATCACCACTTCGAGCCTCTTCTGCAACTTTTGTGTAATGAACATTTCAGAGGGAGCGCACCTGCTGGTCCTGGGCTGGGTCTAAAAGCAGGTGCTCTGCTGGGGCTCCCTGGTGCCAGGACTGTGGCATTCACCGTGTGGGTGTCTGTGGATGCCCGGCCCTCCTCTGTTCCTCATGCAGGGTCCAGCTGGAGTTCAAGTACAGACTCTTCTATTCCATGCCTCAGTTTTCCTCTTATTTATTTATTTATTTATTTATTTTTGTAAAGTCAGATATACAGAGAGGAAGATTTTCCATCTGATGATTCACTCCCCAAGTGAGCGCAACAGCCAATCCGAAGCCAGGAGCTAAGAACCTCCTCCCGGTCTCCCATGCGGGTGCAGAGTTCCAAGGCATCGGGCCATCCTCAACTGCTTTACCAGGCCAAAAGCAGGGAGCTGGAAGGGAAGTGGAGCAGCTGGGATTAGAACTGACACCCATATGGGATCCCAGCACGTTCAAGGTGAGGACTCTAGCCACTAGGCCACTGCACTGGGCCCAGTTTTCCTAACTCTTAAAGGCGAACCAGGTCATGGTTGTGCCTGGTCATGCAGTCAACACACATTTTTTTTTACGCATATGCAAATATTTATTTATTGGAAGGCAGAGAGAGAGGGAGAAGGAGAGATATGTTCCACCTGCTTATTTACTCTTCAATTGGCTGCAACGGCCAGGGTTGGGCCAGGCTGGAGCCTAGAATTCCACCCTAGCCCCCCACAGGGTGGCAGGGATCTAAGCACTTGGCCATCTTCTGCTGCTTTCTCAGGTGTGTTAGCACAGAGCTGGATGGGAAGTGGAGCAGCCAGGATTCAAAGTGGAGCTCATATGGAATGCCAGTGTCCCAGGAGGAGGCCTCACGGGTGGGCCTCGATGCCCACCCTCAGCACACTTTTGAGAAGCACTGGTCTCACGTCTGGCCAGTTTGGCCAACCCACGGGATGCTGGACACAGTCCCTTCAAGTCAGCAACAGAAAAGTCAAATATTGCAAGAACCAGCTCCTTTGCTCTTGTTTCTACCTGGTTTTTGCCAACCTTGGTGTCTGGGGCAGCTCATGAAGGGAGGGGGCTCCTGCCTGCTCTTGCCCTCCCCCATGCCAGGGTGGGTCCTGAGGGGAAGTGACGGGCGGATGTCGGGGTTCAGCCCAGGGATGGGGAGGTGGAGGTGACAACACCAGCGGAACTTCTGTCTAGTCCTCTGCCCACAGGATGTGACCAAGGGAGGGCTTGCAGGAAACATACTGGCCTGGTAGTCTCACGGGAAAGGCACCCTGAGCCATGGTAGATCTCTCCCTGCAGCCAGCCCCTGCCACCTGTCACCCGTGCATCCATGGCTCTGCCCCCGATGGAGCTTATGCTGGACTAGCCTGTGCCACTTGTTATCCCTTTGCCGGCTGCCTCACCCCTTCCCGGGTGGCTGCTGCCTTCCAGCGTTAGTACCCCAAGGAGCCCGAGGTAAACGCTGCTCTGCAGAACCGAGAACACCCCCACGTAAGGCTTGAGGAAGATTTTGTTTGAATGAACGGCAATTATTGCTTTAGGATGCTCTCCCATCCCACCCTGATTCAGCCAACAGCTTTTCTGCTTCTGATAAGCATGGACCCACACAGCTGGTTCAGATCTGCCCCCCAACACGTAGCTCTTCTGCCTGAAACCCACTCCCTGTTGCCCTCAGCCTGCCCCTCCCTGGCAGCGCCCTGCCCCAGAACGGGGCCTCTGCAGGCACCAGAAAGCCAAAGCCCCTGTGGACGGGAGCTGGACAGAGCCTAGTACATCAAATTCAAGTTTGTCTTTCCTCTTTTAAAAACGATTATTTATTTGGAAGTCAGAATTACAATGAGAGAAAGAGGTACACACAGAGAGATCTTCTGTCTGCTGGTTCACTTCCCATACGGCTGCTAAGGCTGGACTGAAGCCAGGAGCCAGGAGCTTCTTCCTGGTCTCCCACATGGGTGGCAGGCACTTTGGGTCATCTTCTGCTGTTTTCTCAGGCCATTAGCAAGGAGCTGGATTGGAAATACAGCAGCTGGGTCTCTAAGTGGCACCAGCATTGCAGGCAGGGGATTACCCACTTTGCCACAATATGGGGTGGGGATGGGTGGCACATTCAGATTTTTTCCAGAAGATGGCAAGAGACTGCCTGCAAACTGCACTTCGGAAACGTTCTAGCCTGGCCTGGGAGGGGACCAGCTGAAGGGGCCGGGACTCGGAATTTCTTAGCAGAGGGCGGCGTCGGAGGGCACAAGTGACGCGAGGCAGAAAAGCCAGTTCGGCGGGCAGAGCCGAAGCTCCCTGAGTCAGGGAGATGCCAGCGAGAGGATGGGGGAGGGAGGCGGAGGGCCAGGCCGAAGGAGGAGTGCCGGAGGGCTGGGGTTGCCTGCGCGAGGACCACAGGCTTGGAACAGGTGGGGTGCCACACTGCAAGCAGCTGTATGAGCAGAACGCCTTAGATTCAGCCAGCCCGGTTCGAGGCTCGGCTCTGGTCCTCTGTGACCTTGGGCTAACAACCTCAGCCCTGGAGACCTCTGTGACCTGGTCTGTGAAATGGGTCCGCCTTTGTGGGAGCTGCTGCTTGGAGTAGGGGGGCCTCTAGCACCTCTGGAGCACACAGTGGGGGTTCAGTCGGCCTTAGCTGTTTTTATTTATTTATTTTTTTTGCTTCCGAGGCTTCACGGCGGTCCGGCCCGGCTCCCTCCGTCGCCTCCGGTGTCGCCGCGCCCCCTGGCGGCGGCCGGTTGCCATGCCAACGGCGGGTGGCGGGGCCGGGGAGGCGGCGGCGGCGGCGGGGGGCCGTTCTCTTCTCCCTGGGCGCGCCTCCCGTCTTCGCCTTTTTTGGGGGCGAAAACCTTTCGGAGCCGTAGCGGGAGGGGTGGGGGCTCCTGGGGGTAAACTGAGGCACGCGGCAGGGCGCCCCGCAGCCAGGTGTCGCGCGCCGGGCCCCACCTCCGAGGGCGGAGGAGGGGCCGCGGGCGGTGACGCGCCCGGGGCGGCCGGCCGAGTGCGAGCGGGCGGCCGGGCGGGCGGCGGGCGGCGGGCGGCGGCGGCAGGTGCGGCCGCGGAGGGCGGGAGGGGGAGGAGGAGGAGGGAGGGGGCGGGCAGAGGGGGAGGGGAGGGCGAGACCGGGGCGCCTCCCCCTTTATAACGCGCCCCGTTCTGCGCTCTCCGGCCGCCTCCTCGTCGGCTCTTCCCGGCTCGCCCCCTCGCCCGGCCGCCCCGGGCCCGGGCCCGGCCAGGGCGCACACCCCCTCCTCCCAGGCCGCGGCTCGGGGCTGCTCCTCCTCTTCCCCCGCGCCGGCCGCTCCGCGCAGCCCGGCGGAGGCGGCGCCGCCAGAGGAGGAGGAGGAGGAGGAGGAGGAGCAGGAGCAGGGCACTGCGGCTGGCCCCGGATCGGGCGCCAGAGCGGCAGCGGCTTCGGCAGCAGCGGCGGCCTGGGCCGATGCAGCGGGACGCAGCACCCCGAGCCCCAGCGCCAGCGCCCCGGATCCCCGCGCCCCCAATCGGGGCGGCCGCCGGCACTGGCGGCGGTGGCGGCGGAGGCGCGGGCAGCGGCGGCGGTGGTGGCGGCGGCGGCGGAGGCGCCTCTGCAGCTCCGGCTCCCCCTGGCCTCCCGGGAACTACAAGTCCCAGGGGGCCTGGCGGCGGGCGGCGGGCGGAAGAGGCGGGGTCGGCGCCGCGGGGCCGGAAGTGGCCGTGGAGGCGGAAGTGGCGCGGCCGCGGAGGGGCCTGGAGCGCGGCTGCGGGGCCCGGGGCGGGAGCGGCGGCGGCGGCGGCGGCGGCGGGGGCCGGGGGCGGCGGCGGCGCTCTGGAAGCGGCCATGGCCAAGCAGTACGACTCGGTGGAATGCCCGTTTTGCGACGAAGTGACCAAATATGAGAAGCTTGCTAAGATCGGCCAAGGCACCTTCGGGTAAGGCTAGGCCCCGAGGGGGGCCGGGGGCGCCGGGGTCTGCACTCCACGAGGCCTGCACCCCACGGGACCCGCACCCCACGGGACCCGCACCCCACGGGGCCAGACCGAGACGGTCGGGGAGCCGCGCGTGTCCTAGGCCGCGCCGCACACCCCGGCGGAGCCGGCCGGCGGGGAGGAGCTTGAGGCCCGAGGTGGCGGGTGGTGCGGGGCGGTGTTGGAACGGGGAGCGGGCGCCAGGAGCACCGGGGTGGGAAGGGGCCGAGGCTGGGCGAGGGGCTGGGACCGGGCAGGGGTGGGGCGGCTGGGTCGCCGCTGGGCCCTGCCGCCCCCTCCCCTTGCCCCGGGACTGCGGAAGCGGCCGGGCGAACCCCTGGGGTGTGTCTGTCGGCCCCGCAGGGAGGTGTTTAAGGCGAAGCACCGACAGACCGGCCAGAAGGTGGCTCTGAAGAAGGTGCTAATGGAGAACGAGAAGGAAGGGGTGAGTAGGCGGCGGGGTGTCCCTTGCCCCTCTCAGCCGCGCGGGACCGGGCGCGCCCTTGCACGTGGCCGGCGCGCTTAGGAAGGCTTCCAGCGTTTGCCTTCGCTCTCAGCAAGCGAACACGCCTAATTTTTAGAAGGGACGGAGCACGTCGGTCCCAGCTCTGCCCGGCCTTCCCGAGAGGAAGGAATGGTTTGTTGTCAACGCAGGCACGTGGCGAGGGGCTGACACCGGGAGGCGTGCTCCAAACCGGGGCCTCTGGGCGGGCACGCACGCTCCTGTAACTGCCTGACCTCCCGTCTCCCGCCTGCCCCGCAGTTCCCCATCACGGCCTTGCGGGAAATCAAGATCCTCCAGTTGTTGAAGCATGAGAATGTGGTCAACCTCATCGAGATCTGCCGGACCAAAGGTGAGGGCTCACCTGTGGCATGTGACCCCCCTCTCCCGGGGCCACCGCCTGGCCTCTCTCCCGGCTGATGCGGTGTCCTGCGGGACTGGGCCTGGGCCTCCTGATGGCTCCTTCTCGTGCCGCAGCCTCTCCCTATAATCGCTGTAAGGGCAGCATATACCTCGTGTTTGACTTCTGCGAGCATGACCTCGCCGGGCTGCTGAGCAATGTCCTGGTCAAGTTCACACTGTCAGAGATCAAGAGGGTGATGCAGATGCTGCTCAACGGCCTCTACTACATCCACAGGAACAAGGTGCGGGCCGGGGGAGGTGTGACCGTGACGATGGTGGGCCAGGCCGGGCTGGGCACCTGGCTGAGCCAACCCCCCCCCACACACACCCCACAGATCCTGCACAGGGACATGAAGGCGGCCAACGTGCTGATCACCCGGGACGGGGTGCTCAAGCTGGCTGACTTCGGGTTGGCCCGGGCCTTCAGTCTGGCCAAGAACAGCCAGCCCAACCGCTACACCAACCGTGTGGTGACGCTTTGGTACCGGCCCCCGGAGCTGCTGCTGGGTGAGGATTGTTGGGCAGGCTGAGCGTGGCTCCCCTGCCCCCATCCCACTGCCCACCCACCCGCCCTGGGGGGCTCAAGTCTCAAGGTGCCTTCCTGCTGTGCTCTTCCCAGGGGAGCGGGACTACGGCCCCCCCATTGACCTGTGGGGAGCTGGGTGCATCATGGCTGAGATGTGGACACGCAGCCCCATCATGCAGGGCAACACGGAGCAGCACCAGCTTGCCCTCATCAGCCAGCTCTGCGGCTCCATCACTCCGGAGGTGAGTGGGCCTGCTGCCGGCTCGCCTGGTCAGGCTTCTGAAAGGAGAGCAGGGCTTGGCTGAGGCCCAGATGAGTTCTGTGGCAGCAGGCCTCACAGGTGTTCACTTGCCCCCTGGGGAAGCAGAGACAGGCATATGTGGGGGCTGTTCCCGCGAAGGGGCCTGGCACATGGCTACTCTCCTGTGGACCTGCCAAGTTCTCCAAGGGTGGTCCAGGTACTGCCGCTCTGGTCCTGACTGCCCTGTCTCCACACCCACTTCCAGGTGTGGCCCAATGTGGACAAATACGAGCTGTTTGAGAAGCTGGAGCTGGTTAAAGGGCAGAAGCGGAAAGTGAAGGACAGGCTGAAGGCCTACGTGCGGGACCCTTACGCGCTGGACCTCATCGACAAGCTGCTGGTGCTGGATCCTGCGCAGCGCATCGACAGCGACGACGCCCTCAACCATGACTTCTTCTGGTCCGACCCCATGCCTTCGGACCTCAAGGGCATGCTGTCTACCCACCTGACGTCCATGTTCGAGTACCTGGCGCCCCCACGCCGGAAGGGCAGCCAGATCACCCAGCAGGCGACCAACCAGAGCCGCAATCCCACCACCACCAACCAGACCGAGTTCGAGCGTGTCTTCTGAGGCTGGCGCTGCGGCCGATTGCTGCTGTTCCGTCTCTGCCACGTGACTCGCACCGTGGAGCCAGTGGACGTTTGAGATTAGTCTCCAGTGCTGGCCGGGCTCCTCCCCGTGGTGGGCGCTGCAGGAAGCAGCCAGGGGACTGGAGAGAAGCACTGGCTGCCAGGCCAGGAGGTTGTGAGGGCTGCTGCCCCGCTGCCTAGCTTTATGGACCATGTTTGGGGGAGTATCCACATACCACAGGACAGGATGGGGGGCTAAGGGGGCCCTCTGACCAGTGACTCCTGAGAGGCCCTGCAGGGTGGGAGGAGGTGACAGGTCCTCCGCCCTTCCTTGGGCACCCCCCATTGCGGGAACAGAAGGCTTTGGGCTGGGGCTGTCCCAAGTTGAAACCCCCAGGCAATGGGGTTGGCAGAAGGAAGCATTTTACTGTGTTTCGTTGTTCAGTTGTGCAGTTAGGTTAGTTACAATTAAAAGTTGGCTTTGTTTTTTTCCACGTGGTGGCTGTGTCTTCCCTGCATTCGGCCCTCAGCTGCTGCCCATGGCAGCTGACGGGTGGAGCCATTGCTCTGAGCCCTGGTGCAGTTCTCTCCGACACACCACACATGACTCTCACCTTCCTTCATCTCCTATGTCACCTGTCGGGATGTTCTCCAAAACAGCACTGCAGGGCCGAGTCACTCCTATGTGCTTTTGCCGGAGGAAGAGGCCTCAGCCCCCTGGTGCAGGGCTGCCCTGAGCCAGCAGGTGGGTCTGGGCTTCTGCAGTTTAGAGACACCTGTTTGAATGTGACTCATTTGGAAAGAATTAGGTGGAGGAGAGAGTGGTCTTCTATCTGCTAGTTGACGTCCCCATTTGGCCTCAACAGCTGGGGAGGGCCGGGCCGAAGCCAGGAGCCTGGAATTCCATCCTGCTCTTCCATGTGGCTGGCAGGGGCCAAGGTGCTTTCCCAGGTGCTTTGGATTGCTAGTGAAGCAGCCGGCACTGGAACTGGACCTCATGTGCTCAAATGATGCAGGCATTGCAGAAGGCCGCTTAACACACTGGTTAGACTTCTGCAGTCGCTTTCAAATAGGAAGTGATGTACCAGGATGTCCCGGAGAAGTGAGAAAGGAGGTGACTGGAGGAGTGAAGGACCCCAGGGCAGAGGAGGAGGCAGTAGAAGTTGGGATAAGTGGGTACATGGAGAGGGAGGATGGGGTCAGGCTGGAGCCCGCATCCTGGAGCTGGGTGCAGTCTGTGTTCTGCGAGGGGCCAGACCTTTTGGAGAAGGGCTGGCAAACTTTCTACCAAACTCCTGAACTGACAGATCCAGGCCACAGGTCTGGAGGCCAGGGTCCAATCGACAGGGCTGGTTCCAGCTGGATGCAGTCAGGTACCAGACTCCCGAGGGCTGCTGGGCACCTCGGGTTCCTTGCTAGGGTGTCTCTGCCTTCACATGTGTTTCCCCCTGTTCCCACGCTGTCCAGAGTCTGGTCAGTTGGACACGGGGCCCATCCTCATGTAGGTGACCCTGGGCAAACACTTTCTTTTTTATTTTTTTAATTTTATATTCTCATTTATTTTATTATTTTTAAAAAGATTTATTATTATTTTTTTTATTGGAAAGGCGGATATACAGAGAGGAGAGACAGAGAGGAAGATCTTCCGTCCGATGATTCACTCTCCAAGTGAGCGCAACGGCTGATGCTATGCCGATCCAAAGCCAGTGGCCTCTTCCGGGTCTCCCACATGGGTGCAGGGTCCCAAAGCTTTGGGCCGTCCTCGACTGCTTTCCCAGGCCACAGGCAGGGAGCTGGAAGGGAAGCGGGGCTGCCGGGATAGAACCGGCGCCCATATGGGATCCCGGGCATGCAAGGCGAGGACCTTAACCACTTGCGCCACCGCGCTGGGCCCCATTTATTTTAAGATTTATTTTCATTACAAAGTGAGATATACAGAGAGGAGGAAGGATAGGAAGGTCTCCCATCTGATGATTTACTCCCAAAGTGACCACAACGACCGGTGCTGTGCTAATCCAAAGCCAGGAGCCAGGAGCCTCTAGGTCTCCAACACTGGTACAGGGTCCCAAGACGTTGGGCCGTTCTCAACTGCTTTCCCAGGTCACAAGCAGGAAGCTGGATGGGAAGTAGAACTGCCGGGATTAGAGCCTGCAACCATATGGGATCCCAGTGCGTTCAAGGTGAGGACTTTAGCTGCTAGGCCACGGTACTGGGCCCTGGCAAACACTTTCAAACAAGGCCATTTCCTGTGTCTCTGGAAGAATGCGAATTTGGAGGGGTTACTGGTCAGTGACCGAGGGTGTGTCTGGGCACAGCAGGTTAAGCCGTCCCTTAACAGTGCTGGCATCTTGTATCCAGCACTGTTTTTTTGTTTGTTTGTTTTTTTAAGATTTATTTATTTTTTGTCCTGGCAGCGTAGCCTAGTAGCCAAAGTCCTCGCTTTGACAAGCTGGGATCCAATATGGGTGCCGGTTCTAATCCCAGCAGCTCCGTTTCCCATCCAGCTCCCTGCTTGTGACCTGGGAAAGCAGTCGAGGACGGCCCAAAGCCTTGGGACTCTGCACCCATGTGGGAGACTCTGAAGAGGTTCCTGGATCCTGGTTTCAGATCGGCACAGTACCGGTCGTTGCGGTCACTTGGGGAGTGAATCATCAGATGGAAGATCTTCCTCTCTGTCTCTCCTCCTTTCTGTATATCTGACTTTCCAATAAATAAATAAATCTTAAAAAAAAAAATGGCTAGTGCCGCGCCGATTTGAAGCCAGGAGCCAGGAACTTCCTCCAGGCTCCCACATAGGTGCAGGGTCCCAAGACTTTGGGCTGTCCTCAACTGCCTTCCCAGGCCACAAACAGAGAGCTGGGTGGGAAGTGGGGCTACTGGAATTAGAACCAGCATCCGTATGGGATCCCAGGGGGTTCAAGGCAAGGACTTCAGCCATTAGGCCACTGTGCCGGGCCCACAAGCACTGGTTCTAATCTTGGCTGCTCTGCTTCCAGTCCAACTCCTTGCTAATGCATCGGGGGAGGCAGCTGAGGCTGGCCCAGTGCTCCAGTTTGGCTCCTGGCTGTGACCTTGCTATTGTAGCCACTTGGGGCCTGAACCAATGGAGAGATTTCTCTCCCTTTACTCTGCTTTTCAGATAAATAAATCTTTGAAGAAGAGGTAGTCAAGGAATCCGAAGAGTACCACCAACATAGGTGTCCTAGTGGTTGGTGGCAGGTCTTGAACAAAGTGACTGAAGAAACAGCCGGCCCTACTGCTCCCCAGGCTGCAGGTGAGCAGGTTTCTTGTGCTGTTCACCCAGTGCTTGCACCCCGAGGGTCTGGGATTCCTTGCAGTCCTCATTAGACTCTCAGGGGTATCCCATTCAGTCCACCTTTAGTCTCTGGGTCTGTAACAAGCACCAGAGTGTTTCTAGGCCAGGTGCAGTGGGCACAGCACCACTGCCCCTTCCACCACTGTGGAACACACCTGCTCTCGGTTTAAACCAGTCAGACAGGTGCCGTGCAAAGCCTCCCCCGGGGAGCTGGTAGCGGCGCGTGCTCATCCCCATACCCCGGCTTGGTGCCTCGCCTTAAGTTGTGTCTCCCCAACTTACGAGCTCCTGCCAGGAGACAACATTTTACAACAGACTGGACTCTTGGTCCTAGAGCTGCTAGCTGCCCCACAGCCAAAACCCGGGCTGCATGCCCTAGCCAGTTGGTGAAGCAAAGCCAGTTCTTTCAGGAGCTTAAAGTCAAGGACTGCTGTGCTCAGGTCAGATCCCACCTTTGGGGGGCTGAAGGCAAGTGGGGGATCCTGACTGAAAGCAGAAAAGTGGGCTGTGATCCAAGGCCTGGGAGGGATTCTGGACATCGCAGTCTAGGTCTCCCATCTGCCACTTGCTTCTGGCTGACCTTTAACCTCTCCCTAGTTGTTATTTAACTGGTCAGGGAGACCCTGACCGAGGTGCACTATAAGGCCTGCTGGGAAGGTTGAGATCTCCGAGGGCCGAGCCTCAAATGCGGGCAGTGACCTATCAGGGAATGTGTTGCTGCCTGTGGCCTACAGCTCTTCAGCCAGGCCTGTCCCCCTGGGGGCGGCCGCCATGGGACCCTCCCATCTGGCACCCCGTCAGGTGCATGGCCCCTGCGGCAGGCTGGCACAGCTGCCCTGGCAGAGGCGTCCGCACATGGAAGCCACCTCAGGCCCCACCCAGGAGGCTGAGGGATGACAGGTGCCAGCTCCCTGGCTCTCTTCTGGCCAGTAGTGCCAAAGCTCTGGTGGCAGTGACTATGGAGCCACGAGACCCACCAGGATGTCTTTCCCCAGCTGACACTGCCTCCTTCCAGGTAGGGGAATGGGGTCCCGGAGTGGGGGAGGTAGGGGTCCCTGCCTCACAGTGTGCTGGCTGGGCATTCCCTGCTGTGTGGGTGAACTGAGCAGAGGCCTATGGTGCCGGGGTGGGGTGGCCTGGGACCTGCGCTTCATGCTCTACAGACAGTTCAGAGAGGAGCCGAGACCACACTGCTGGGAGGGTTTTGAGCCAGCTCACATGTGGGGAATGCCCCCCGGGCCCAGCGCCGCCTGGGCCTCATTACAGCCCTTGGCAGAGGAGGACTGTGAGTCCTGCTTGGCAGATAGGGCTGGGATGAGGTAGGGGGCTTCAGCGAGGGAGGAGCAGGGTCAGGTCTGGAAGCGGCAAAGCCACACCCTGGACTTCATACTCTACAGGCTACAGGTGCAGACACCTAGCCCTGGCTGGCCATCTCCTGTCAGAACAGGACAGGACAGGGCAACTGCTCCCCTGTACTACCCAGTTCCCAGGCCTCGGAGACCTTCAGGCTTGGGACAGACAGAACTTGCTGCCAGGCAGCAGAGGCAGCAGTGGGCCCAGAGGTCAGGGTTTGGGCACAGACCTGTGGCCTCAGTGAGGGGCTGGGGGATGAGAATGTCACAGCCTCCTTGCCCACTCCGCCAAACCAAGTCAAAAGTTGCTCAAGGCCAATGCTGTGCATCAGATGACCCTAGTCCCTGAGGTGGGGACAGGTCCAGCAGCGGCCTAGGGGCGCAGACCCTGTGCGGGCGCCTCCTGTGAGGTGGGGCAGGGCCGCCAAGCGTGAGGATGGAGCAGAAATAAGGCTGCACACCAAGGAGCTTAAGTCTAGGTTGACTCCACTGTCTGTCACTGCAAAAAAAGGTCCTCAATAGCTAGAAATAGGAGCCGGAGCTTTCTGAGGCCCATCAGAGGATGGACTCCTCAGGTCTCGGTTTCTTGGCCTGTAAAATGGGAATTCAGCCTGGGACACTCGGGAGGCTGGATAGCTGGTACTCCCCTCCCTCCAGCCCCCAGGACACTCTGGAGGCCCGAAAGTAAACTAGCAACTAGGGGAAAAAGCATTCCACATATTCCCGAGAAGACCAGCCGCACAGCAGCAGCTATCTGGGTGGAGCAGAGGAGGTCCCGCCCTGCCACAGGTGGGACTGCAGCCTCATGGGGCACCTAACACACGTG